TTTTTTCCTATCCACCAGAATTTAAGATTATTAATCCAAGAGCTCCGCAGACCCAGCTGCTATGAAAACGCAATGTAAACCCCAACTTTCCTAGTGATCGACATCAACTGAAAATATTATCCCTGCTTTCATTGCTCCTAGCTCCAGGCCAAACTCAGTGACAAGAATTGCATTAATAAATCCCATCTTATAGAAAACTAAAAGTCAATGAGAAGAGCACAAAAAGAGTGGAGCAGTGTGGAAAAGACCTGCTGAGAATCCAAATAAATTGCTATTTTATTTGACCTTCAATAGAGAGGAGGCTAGAAATCATCCGTAAGTGCTAAAGCCGTTTAGTGATCTTTGTGTTGCCAGACTTGCAGTTTCTGCCACAAAGTTGATCTGTCATCAGCTAAAATGTGTCCACGAGCTGCTCGGCTGCGCAAAACAGCGTAAAGCAGTGTAAAATATCTCCAGTGCCTGTGTTACTTTATAAAACACGCAAGATATTTCGAGCTAAAGAGCGGAGGGTCAGAAAGGGTTCTCGGGCCCAGGTGGCAGCACTCTGGCAGGGTCGCTGGTCACCTGTGATTTAAGCCCGACTCTGCCAGCTGCACCATGAAATGTTAATGTTGGCAATGTTTTTAAGTGACTCCCTTTCTTTCCCTTTTTTTTCTTATTTTTGTTCCCTATTTACGCAACCAGCATTTGCTCTATTCCACACCCTTGTGGTATGTACGCTCGCCACGACGGTATTATATTATTCATGGGTATTATGCTATTCTTCCTTTGCTCCCTCCGTTGCACGAGTACGGGTGGCAAACTAATCTTCACCTCTCACTGCAAAAACCCCAGGGGAAATTCCTTAACTGCCCATCACTTCCCACCTGCTTGCTGGGTGGGAACATGCTGCAAGAGCCTTTGCCCCATCTCTTCGCTGCCAGGAAAGTCTTTGCTAACCGCCGCTCACTGTGACGACTCCCGGGACCTCGCGGTGTGGACCTCGTGGTGTGAACCTCGCCAGGACCTCGCGGGTGCGCCCATCGGGCCACCATGCTCCCCGTCCCGCTGCTTGTCCTCCTGGCCAGCCTCGTCCCGCACGGTACGGCGCTGCGCGACCTGCTGGGGGGCGGGCCGGGCCGGGGGGGC